GTGAGAGATCTGGCCAGGAGAGACACATCACCAACCATCTGCAAGTGAGAGATCCAACCAGGAGAGACACATCACCAACCATCTCTCTGTGAGAGATCCGTCCAGGATGGACACATTACCAACCATCTGCAAGTGAGAGATCCGGCCAGGATGGACACATTACCAACCATCTGTTAGTGATCTGCCCTTCTGTAGGTTTTGGGGTTGAACTCCACCAAGGATGGTATCTTGAGTGTTTGTTTAGGTTTCCTCTGGGTGCTCCTGTTTTTTCACACAAACCAAAAGATGAACTGGCTGCAGTTTTTGGGCCCTATTGCATTAGGGACATTGAAGTGCATGCTGTTTCATGGGGTGGTGAGGGGGGGTGGAATGATGTTATTGGATCTGCTACTGTGGAAAGTGGCATTTTATGAATAAAAGAAATACAACTGCATTTGGAAGATTTTCACCCATTGTATACCAAATTAAAGTTCCCGATAGATGAGCAGGGTGTGCCCACAAAACGTGATTCTTGGAAACGAAGTTTAGCAAAGTGGGGGAAGCATGTGCCACCTGAATACATGGGTGCCACCTGAATACATGGGTGCCACCTGAATACATGGGTGCCCTATCCAATGAACTTTATTACAGCTCTGAAAACAAAATGGGCTTCCATGAGGAAGGAGAACCAATACACATAGGAAATGAAGGTATCTGCAATATATAGATGTCATCAGTATATTATGGTAGTTGGACCCGGCTCTAGAACCCTCCTGAAGTGGGAGGGCTGAGTTTTTTGTAGGACAGTATAGGGCTGAAGGCTAGGGTGTTATTGCTATGTGATAGTGAGCTGAAATGGAATGCTGCGTTTCAAGCATGTGATGGGTTTATACACAACCGAAGCCTTTTAAAAACAGGAAAGACTTGCTCAGCCTCTGTCTCATTAAAGGCACAGTACAGAAGATTGGTGTATGTTGGGGATCTGCTGTCTGCAGGCTGTATACTGACATTATGCAATACGATGTGATTCTAAAGGCTCCAATGTTTTTACTTAAAACTAAAAGAGGTTTATACTTACCTGGGGATTAGGTTGGCACCAGTGCAGAGTGGCCCCAAATCTTCTCTTCTGGGGGTTTTCTGCTGGTGCTTTTGGCTTTTCCTTTTCTGTGTCTGTCCACATAGCAAGGTGCTTGTTGTGGGGGCACTCGTGCAGGCACAATCCTGAGCCAGGCTGCATGCATTTATAGACACACACAGCGTGGCTCAGCCCCCCCACTCCCTCCTCGCTGGATTTGGTTCACATCAGCCAATGGCTGCCATTGCTATTATTCTGCCATGTGAGACCAGGGAGAAAGAGCAGCGCTGCTGCATACGGGCACACCACTGGACCAATACAGGACCCAGGTAAGTGTTTGTGGAGGGGGGACACAAAAAAAGACAGCTAGTGAAAGGTTTTTTACCTTGATGCAGGTAATTCATTAAAGTAGGAAGACTTTTGATTTTAGAACCATTTTAAATCTGAGACAGGAACTAATAGTACATGACAAAGGTTAGTGTGACAACCGTGGTACTTCTCCCTGGGGATGAACATCGTTCCCTCTAGTCTGAAATATCAATTTTGTCCTTGAGATCATTTATATCTATACATTCTGTTAGATTTTTATAAAATCATCCGGTCCATATTTCCAAATTATTTTGTCACCTCCAGCTCTTACCATCAATTATATATTGTTCATTATGAGACATGGGATCAGCAGTAATTCATAGACAATAGAGTCATGCTGTCACCTTCAGGAGGTAAACACAAAGCCATTGGACAATCAGGTATTATTATTATTATTATTATACGGGCTTTATAAAGTGCCAGCAGTTTGCACCGTACTCTACAACATGAGGGCAGACTGTACAGTTCCAATACAATTCAATACAGGAGGAATCTGAGGGCCCTGCTTGTTCGTGCTTACGATCCTATCCACTGATTCTGGGTGCAATGCTCTGTAAAGCTGAACTTTTGCCTTAAGTGATTTGGTTGTCCCTGCAGAGCTTTACCTCCCAAATGGAGGGTCGTCCTACCTGGATTATGTCAGACAGTGCCAAAGCAATGGCATACATCAGCCTGTAGGAGGAAACCAGAAGTTTTGCTGCGGCAAGAGAATTAGAAAAAAACTTGGACAGTACTTCATATTGCAGCCTTGTCTGCTGTTCACGTGCCAGGCATGGACCATTGGCAAGCAGACTATCTCAGCTGGAAAAGCCTAGACTCAACAGAAAGGTCACTTTACCTGGAGGTCTTTCAGGACCTCTGTTGGAGGGAGGGATAGCAGATGTGGACCTCCTGGCTTCAAGGTTCATCCCCAAACTGCGCAGGTTTGTTTTTTAGATGCAAGGATACAATGGCGGAAGCAGTAAGTGGTCTGATGTCTCCATGGGATCAGTATAACCTGATCTACGCCATTCCTACTCTTACTCATCTGCTCATCAGGATCCATATGGAGGACATTCCAGTGCTGTGATCCTCTAGCTCTAAACTGACCCAGGTAGATTTGGTATGCTGACCTGAATAAACCCGTGGCAGATATCCCGCAGGCTCTTCCAGAACTTCTATCTCAAGGACCATTTACTACCCTGTTTCAGAGTCGCCGGCTTTAATGGCATGGCTGTTGAATCCTAGGTCTTGACAGATCCCCGGGCCTTTGAAATCTGTGATTCTGAAACTGTTAAAGGATAGGACGTCTACCTCTTGCAAGGTTCACAACTGTACATTGAAATCTTTGTGTGAAAAGGGTACTTTGTGGTACCAATCTTCACTTTTCTGCAATCTAGTCTAGTCTGGATCAACATTTGGCCTAGAGTACCATCAAGGGTCAAATTTCGGCCTATGTGATCTTGTTTTAGTCAGCTAGCTTTCGTTCCTTGATGCAGACTCTTCTGCAGGGTGTTTTCTCATGTAGCCCCATGTGTGCAACCATCAATGACTTTATAGGATCTACATTTTTGGTTCTTTTAGCTTCTGAAGAAACACCCTTTGAATCTATCAGCGATATTTCTTTTTCCATTCTTACTCGCAAGGTTTCCTTCCTTGTTGCCATCACCTCTGTGTGGTGTGTCTGAACTGTCTTGTAAAGAACTATTTCTGGTCTTGCACAAGGACAAAGTTTTGTTGAGGTCCAGAAACTTTTTCAGCCGTTTGCCTCAAACAGGTTGGGATGTGCTTCTGTCCCTTGGTCTAACCCCAGTACATCCAAATGGGTTTTCACTTCATTGTTTGGATGTGGTTCTTGCTGTCCTTTTCTATCTAGCAATTACTTCTATTAGAAAGCGTTACTGTTGTTGTCATTTCGGATGGTCCCCTTAAAGGAGAACAAGCGATCCACCATTTCTCACCAACTATAGGAGGCATTCCCCTCCCCGCAGCTTTGTGTATACAAGGTGGGCAGGAAATGCCGTGGCCACTTATGATTGGTGGTATGCAGTGATCCTCACTGGTAGGCTCAGGTTAGTATCTGGACATGCCTGAACTCATCCATGTTGGTGACCACACGTGGAAAGCCATTAAACAAGTTCATGGAAATAATAATCTGTGATGAGACCCAATCCTGTTCATTCCAAAGCGTACAATCTGAGACCTCAAGTTAACCCTTTCAGTGTCATATTGTAGTACCCATGTCACTGGCTGTTAAGGAGAGGGACAGCTGTGATGTAAATGCTATGAGACAAAACATTTTTCTTTACCTTCTGACACACATGAGAATACATTCATCCTATTCCTGTGTACGCAAAGACATCATCTTCTAATTGTGGTCACGTCTTGTATATTTTGCAAGTAAATGTGCTACACTAATAGTTATATCCAGTTTTCTCCCTTCTTCAATCATCAAACAACCTATGTACTTTAGCAAGGGAATATTTTATATATATACAGTGAAGGAAATGCGTATTTGCTCCCCTGCTGATGTTGAATGTTTGCCCCTCACAAAGAAATGATCGGCCTAAAAATCGAATGGTAGCTGTATTGTAACACTGAGACAGAAGCAACGGAAAATTCAGCAGAAATGCGTCTAACAAATGATGACGGATCTGCATGTTCATGAGGGAAAGAAGGATTTGATCCCCTATCATTCAGCAGGATTTCTGGCTCCCAGGTGTCTCTCATACAGGTAAGAAGCTGAGATTAGAAGCAGTCTCTTACAGGGAGTGCTGCTAATCTCATTGTGTTACCTGTATAAAAGACACCTGTCCACAGGAGCAATCAAACCATCAGATTCCAAACTCTCCACCATGGCAAAGACCAAAGAGCTGTCCAAGGATGTCAGGGACAAGATGGTAGACCTACACAAGGCTGGACTGGGCTACCAAACTATGGCCAAGCAGCTTGGTGAGAAGGTGACAACAGTTGGTGCAATCATTCACAAATGGAAGAAACACAAAACAAGTGTCAGTCTCCCTAGGTCTGGTGCACCATGCAAGATCTCACCTCGTGGAGTGTCAATGATCATGAGAACAGTGAGGAATCATCCCAGAACTACACGTGAGGATCTTGTCAATGATCTCCAGGCAGCTGGGACCACAGTCACCAAGAAAACAATTGGTAACACACTACGCCGACAAGGACTGAAATCCTGCAGTGCCGCAAGGTCCCTCTGCTCAAGAAAGCCCATGTCCAGGCCCGTCTGAAGTCTGCCACTGAACATCTGAATGATGCAGAGGAGGACTGGTGGGAAGTGTTGTGGTCAGAGGAGACCAAAATCCAGCTCTTTGGCATCAACTTGCCGTGTTTGGAGGAGGAGGAATGCTGCCTATGACCCCAAGAACACCATCCCTCAGAGACTCTGCTCTCTCCTGGTTCTCCTCCTATCTATCCCAACGCTCCTTCAGTGTTACCTAAAACGCTGCCACCTCCCCCTCACTCCCTCTCTCTGTTGGGGTCCCTCAAGGCTCTGTCCTCGGGCCCCTCCTCTTCTCCATCTACACCTCCTTCCTTGGCCAACTGATAAACTCACACAGCTTCAACTACCATCTCTATGCCGACGACACACAAATCTATCTCTCTACTCCTCACCTCACCCCTCAGTCTCCGATCGCCTCACCAGCCTACTAAGTGACATATCAGCATGGATATCACTCCACTTCCTCAAACTCAACCTTTCCAAAACTGAGCTTCTAGTATTCACCGGCAAGTGGCCCCTCCCCCCCCCCCCGACTTCAAGATCAACAACACTACCATCAGTCCCCCCCCTCACGCCAGGGTACTAGGTGTCATCCAAGACTCCAATCTGTCCTTTCAGCCCCAGGTCCAATCACTGACAAACTCATGCAGACTTCACCTCCGTAACATCTCCAAGAAACGACCGTTCCTAACCTCGGAAACCACTAAGCAACTCATCATCCCTCATCATATCACGCCTTGACTCAACTCCCTCCTCATGGCCTGCCTCATCGCAGGCTATCCCCCTTGTCTATCATATGCTGCTGTCATCCACTTACTAACCACTCTGTATCTGCCACCCCTCTCTGCCAATCCCTCCACTGGCCTCATTCAGTGTCCTCCACCCCTCTCTGCCAATCACTCCACTGACCTCCACTCAGTGTCCTCCACCCCTCCCCCTATCCCTCATGAATCAGTGTCCTCCACCCCTCTCTGCTGACCTCCACTCAGTGTCCTCCACCCCTCTCCATCCCTCCACTTACTCCACTCAGTGTCCTCCACCCCTCTCTCCGCCAATCCCTCCACTGGCCTCCACTCAGTGTCCTCCACCCCTCTCTGCCAATCCCTCCACTGGCCTCCACTCAGTGTCCTCCATTCCTCTCTGCCAATCCCTCCACTGTCCATTCAGTGTCCTTCACCCCTCTCTGCCAATCCCTCCACTGACCTCCACTCAGTGTCCTCCACCCCTCTCTGCCAATCCCCTCCACTCCACCCCTCTGCCAATCCCTCCACTGCTCTCCACTCAGTGTCCTCCACCCCTCCCCTCTCTGCCAATCCCTCCACTGCCTCCATTCAGTGTCCTCCACCCCTCTCTGCCAATCCCTCCACCGTCCTCCACTCCCCTCCACTCCACTGACCTCCACTCAGTGTGTCCTCCACCCCTCTCTGACAATCCCTCCACTGGCTTTCCATTGCCCAACGGATAAAATTCAAAACACTAACACTGACGTACAAAGCCGTTCATAAACACTGCCCCTAACTACATCACTGACCTTGTCTCTAAATACCACCGTACTCTCTGCTCCTCGCAAGACCTCCTACTCTAGCTCCCTTGTCTCCTCCTCCCATGCTCCTCTCAGGATTTCTCACGGGCTTCACCCATCCTCTGGAACTCCCTACCCCAAGCTATCAGGCTATCGCCTACCTTGCTCACTTTTAGGCGCACTCTGAAAACTCATCTCTTCAGGGAAGCCTACCCCGGCTAACTACTGGAATCCCCTACTCCCCCAACCACTCCATCCCCCACAGCTAATTACCTCTTGTACCACAATCCCCTCCCTCCTAGATTGTAAGCTCCAAGGAGCAGGGCCCTCTAATCCCTCTTGTATTGAACTGTATTGTTACTGTACTGTCTCCCTCCATAATGTAAAGCACTGAGCAAACTATCGGCGCTATATAAGTCCTGTATAATAATAATAATAATCCCAATTGTCAAAACATGGGGGTGGAAACATTCTGCTTTGGGGGTGTTTTTCTGCTAAGGGGACAGGACAACTGCACCGCATCAAAGGGACGATGGACGGGGCAATGTACCCTCAAATCTTGGGTGAGAACCTTCTTCCTCAGCCAGGGCATTAAAAATGGGTGGTGGATGGGTGTTCCAGCATGACAATGACCCAAAACACACGGCCAAGGCAACAAAGGAGCGGCTCCAGAAGAAGCACATTAAGGTCCTGGAGTGGCCTAGCCAGTCTCCAGACCTTCATCCGATTGAAAATCTGTGGAGGAGCTGAAAGTTCGAGTTGCCAAACGTCAGCCACCAAACCTTAATGACTTGGAGAGGATCTGCCAAGAGGAGTGGGCCAAAATCCCTCCTGAGATGTGTGCGAACCTGGGGGCCAACTCCAGGAAACGTCTGACCTCTGTGATGGCCAACAAGGGATTGGCCACCAAGTACTAAGTCATGTTTTGTGAAGGGGATCAAATCCTTCTTTCCCTCATGAACATGCAGATCCGTCATCATTTGTTAGACGCATTTCTGCTGAATTTGTTGTTGTATTCTGTCTCTCAGTGTTACACCGAACATTCCATTCCATTGTGTGAGGGGCGAACGTTCCATTGTTAGACCGATCGTTTCTGTGTGAGGGGCGAACATTCCATTGTTAGACCGATCATTTCTGTGTGAGGGGGGATCGAGGGGCGAACATTCCATTGTTAGACCATCGTTTTGTGTGAGGGGCGATTCCATTGTTAGACTGATCGATTCTGTGTGAGCGGCGAACATTCACCATCAGGGGGGGGGACATCGACACAATTCTAACATTTTTGGCTCTATACACCACAATGGATTTGAAATGAAACAAACAAGATGTGCTTTAACTGCAGACTATCAGCTTTAATTTGAGGGTATTTACATCCAAATCAGGTGAACGGTGTAGGAATGGCAACAGTTTGCATATGTGCCTCCCACTTGTTAAGGGACCAAAAGTAATGGGACAGAATAATAATCATAAATCAAACTGTCACTTTTTAATACTTGGTTACAAATCCTTTGCAGTCAATTACAGCCTGAATTGTGGAACGCATAGACATCACCAGACGCTGGGTGTCATCCCTGGTGATGCTCTGCCAGGCCTTTACTGCAACTGTCTTCAGTTCCTGCTTGTTCTTGGGGCATTTTCCCTTCAGTTTTGTCTTCAGCAAGTGAAATGCTCAATCGGATTCAGGTCAGGTGATTGGCCATTGCAGAACATTCCACTTCTTTGGTGTCTTTTGCAGTCTGCTTTGGGTCATTGTCCATCTGCACTGTGAAGCGTCCAATGAGTTGTGAAGCATTTGGCTGAATATGAGCCGATAATATTCCCGAAACACTTCACAATTCATCCGGCTGCTTCTGTCAGCAGTCACATCATCAATAAATACAAGAGAAGCAGTTCCATTGGCAGCCATACATGCCCACGCCATGACACTACCACCACCATGATCACTGATGAGGTGGTATGCTGAGGACCATGAGCAGTTCCTTCTCCATACTCTTCTCTTCCCATCACTCTGGTACAAGTTGATGTCGGTCTCATCTGTCCATAGGATGTTGTTCCAGAACTGTGAAGGCTTTTTTACATGTCGTTTGGCAAACTCTAATCTGGCCTTCCTGTGTTTGAGGCTCACCAATGGTTTCCATCTTGTGGTGAACCCTCTGTATTCACTCTGGTGAAGTCTTCTCTTGATTGGTGACTTTGACACACATACACCTACCTCCTGGAGAGTGTTCTTGATCTGGCCAACTGTTGTGAAGGGTGTTTTCTTCACCAGGGAAAGAATTCTTCGGTCATCCACCACAGTTGTTTTCCGTGGTCTTCCGGGTCTTTTGGTGTTGCTGAGCTCACCGGTGCGTTCCTTCTTTTTAAGAATGTTCCAAACAGTTGTTTTGGCCACGCCTAATGTTTTTGCTATCTCTCTGATGGGTTTGTTTTGTTTTTTCAGCCTAATGATGGCTTCACTGATAGTGACAGCTCTTTGGATCTCATCTTGAGAGTTGACAGCAACAGATTCCAAATGCAAATAGCACACTTGAAATGAACTCTGGACCTTTTATCTGCTCATTGTAATTGGGATAATGAGGGAATAACACACACCTGGCCATGGAACAGCTGAGAAGCCAACTGTCCCATTACTTTTGGTCCCTTAACAAGTGGGAGGCACATATGCAAACTGTTGTAATTCCTACATCGTTCACCTGATTTGGATGTAAATACCCTCAAATTAAAGCTGACAGTCTGCAGTTAAAGCACATCTTGTTCTTTTCATTTCAAATCCATTGTGGTGTATAGAGCCAAAAATGTTAGAATTGTGTCCATGTCCCAATATTTATGGACCTGACTGTATATATATATATGCTGTCTGCTGTGAATTACTGTCCTTTCCAAAGCAGGTAGGGTGCTGTAGATAGTCCTTGGTCAGTGACAGCTGATGGGACTTCCAAGGCTGCAGATATTGTCAGTAACTATTACTTTTCAGTCTTCCATTTTCCAGTTGATTTTCATGGAGTTGTTTTAGATTTATTGAAGATTTCCGGCATATAATCTGTGTTAAAAAGCAATATCCCTAATCTAACATGCAAAGCTATCCTTTACCTGCTTACCAACAGCTGGAGATGATCTTCACCTTCTACGGTGGAACAGCTTTGGCAGCAAGTCAAGTGGCCCCTGCCAAGTGGTGACATTCAGGAAAAGTTGGCCAATCCGTGGCTTTGCCTGCACACAAAACACAGCCTTTGGGAGCCTAATGTTGCTGGTTTATAAAAAATGAACAGCTTTGTGTGTTTATTAGTGATGGGACAATTCATGGTACATAAGGGTTTAGGTTCACTTTAAAAATGTGTTCCTTTTATTCTGGTGCCACGATTGACAATATTTGTGGCATATGAGTACCTTTTGATATGTGTATTTTTACCTTTTTATTTCTGTTCAGGATTCCCTCGGGTTTTATATCTTCTCCAGCCTATAGCTAGCTGCCTCTGGTCCTCCATATCCTACCTTTTGTTACCCAACCAATTTGCAGTGGTATGAGTGTTCAACACCATCATTGAGCGCTTCCATAAGCTGTAATAGGCCTTTGTGGATACAGTGGTAATGAACTCTTGAGGTCTTGGGATGGGGGGTCAGGTAGGGTCAGGTGGTACATTTACATGACGTGTGTCAAGGTCACCTTCAGGTTGTCAGATTTAAAGCATTCTTTTTTCTAGAAGTAATTTCTGCTGTCTATATGGGTGGAAAATGTTCATTATGTGATTTTCGATTTTTTGGTTTAGTATAGAAGAGTGAACATGCTATGACTTGGTGGGTTTGGAATATTGTGTGGCAGCGGTAAACGAGCAGCTGCACTGAAGGGCCTACCCTTAGATCCGGTAATTCTAGCGCTATAGTGGAGCCGCCTAATTTCTCAGGTAGATTTGTTGTAAAAAGTATCGCACTTTGCGCAAATGAAGCTGTGCCCGGCCTCTGATTGGCAGGCGACGCTACGTAGTCGTGGAAGGATGGACTCCGCTTTATCTGCCAGGGCTTCCCAGATTACATCATACGGGAAGATGGGACTAGGAGCGGGGAAAGGATGGGAGCTCTCTCTGCTTTTCCGCATGTCCTGCGCCAGGGAGAAGTGAAACTTAAAACTAAAAGCCGGTGCTTGGAGAAGAGCAAAGATTTTTTTTTCCCGTGAGCACTCCTAGTGTTTGGGAAGACAGAGTTAAAATAATCGCGGCCTCACCCCGCTTTTGTTAAATGGACGGACGCAACAAACAAGGCCTCCGGGGCGAAGCAGAATGCTGCCCCTGACTCTGCTGCTCTTTTGCTGTTGTCTTTGTTGGGAAATATCGCGTCCCGATCTTGTCGCGGCTGTTCTGTCCGTAGTTTGCAGCAGAGCGGCGAGCCTGTATGCTGTTTACAGAATGTACGTGTGCTGTTTGACAGGGCTAATGGCCCCTACAGCTGTTAGAAGGGGGGAGGGTGAGGTGTGTGTAGGCTGAATCTCTAAGCAGCTTCCTGCTCACCACTTCTACTCTCACGTCTTTAAAGCCCCAGGACTTCTCTTCCTTCTCAGGCTTCTCCCTTTTTTATTTTCATTTTTTCTCCTTCTTTTTGTCTGGATTCTTCAAATGTAAGTTTTATTGCCTGTAATGTGATTTCAGTGCTACGCGTGTTCCCCTGGCTGAGCCTCTAACTCTTTGTAACTCCTCTCGGTGTAGACGACTAGTAGCACAGGGGTTAAAGCGCAGATTAGTTGTTCTCCTACTATGCTGATAA